AAGTGGTTCCATACTTCAACGACAGTCTGTGCACTTGACTGCCCCAACAGTTAGGCTGCGTTCTACCAAAACCACGAACGTATGTACGTCCTGTTAGTCGTCGCACAAAAGTGACGTTTTATCAGATTTGGTGGTTGAGCACAAGCAAGCCGCCTTTTGAGCAACAACAGCAAAACTCACACACACACACACAGACATGCATACAATGTTAGTTACATTCATTCTGATATACAAGCAATTCAAATATCAGTACTCAACCATATTATCAGGAGTTGACTATAGGAATTGAAAAGCATATTGGCCTCCGCTTATGTTACTTCAACTCAATTTCTCCCTTTCTTCCTTAGCACCGTGCCTATGCATTTGTTTGCAGCAAGTGGATTTTATGAAAATTGACTTTTGTACGCACAAAAATGTTGACAACATTCCATGGATTACACTTGTCAATTTGTGGCTTTTGAAAACTTGTTATTTTCTCGTTGACGCCATCTTCGTCCACCAACTTTTTGCAGGTCCGTCTAGTGTTGTACAGAAGGCAACTTAGATTCAGTAAAAGTCAAATTTGAGTTTCCTTAGTATGTGTAGATATGTTTGCCATGGAGGTATTACCAATTTCGCTGATGGAACTTATGGATAGTTGGCCTTTAGTCTGTCAAAACGAAATTTAATTGAGCTGTCAATGAGATTGACCAAAACTGAGCAATGGTGGGAGTTTTATCAAATGTGAGTAAATATGTATGTTATATGCATAAAGGTGTTTTTTTTGCTTATTTTTTTACTTACTTTTACAGCTATTTATGTAATAACATGATTTATCTTTACTTTCCAGCGTGCATTGAGATCCGGTTGTTGTAAAAAAAAGTCTGACACTTTTTTTGTTCATGAAGGAACTGCGCTTTGATTTTTTATTATTGACCTATGAACGGTCTAATCGTCAGCTGAGGAATGTTTGTGGCTCCTTAAATCCTTTGATATATAAAAATACAGCTCTTTCAGCGGTAGAATTCCACATAAGCAGTGGAAACCTTGCAGCGAGGAAGGAGCTACTGCTACGCGGAGCCGATTTCTGTTGCGGTTATATGACTCACAGCGAGTCTTTCATCATATTATACTTCAGTAATCAAAGTATTTCGATATTCGTTGGTTGGATGACAATGTTGCGCGCTTCAAAGCTCATTTTTGGCTTAATGTGTGCGCAAATAAACGGAATTGTCAAGTTTGGAGTGAAGATCAGCCAGAAGCTTTGGAAGAGCTACCAATGCTTCCAGAAAAAGGCACAGTTTGGTGCGATTTATGGGCTGGTGGCATCATTGGACCGTATTTCTTCAAAGATGATGCTCATCGTAACGTATCTCTGAATGGCGAGCGCTACCGTGAGATGGTATCAAACTATTTTTGCCCAAAATGCAAGAGCTTGACTTGCATGATATGTGGTTTCAACAAGACGGTACCACATGCCACACAGAATGAGTAACAATGGACTTTTTATTAAGAAGCTTAAATCAAACAATTTAAAAGTAAACTCGTTTTTTGCATCGTTCCCAGACCAATTTTCTGAAAGAAAAGGTGTTCCCAATGGTAATTTGAGCCCAAAGCCACTACATACCAAATTATGTATACATCAAACGATAAATCGAAGTTTTTCGAATAGGTCGAACCCGGGTTGGCTTCTCGGAAGAAAAAGTTTTCCCCATGTCAACATAGGCACCACCACTGCGTGTGGAGGATTCAAAAATTTACCCTCCGCAAGGCACGCCAGTCATAAGAGGCAACTAAAATCCAATTGCTCCTTATTCCTGGAATATTTTTCCGGTTACAAAAACAACAGCTACCTGCGAACCAAATCTCCTGTATATCAAGCGATTGGAACAGAAATAAGATTTTTCCGATTAGATCAGTTCCAGGTCCATTTCCCGGAAAATCCTTTCTTAACGGATGCAAACATCATACGCAGAACATAAAAGCCGTTATGTAGCTGTTCGCGTGTACTCGTATTATATACTGGTGCACGAAGTGTAGAACGTCTGACGGTTGTTGTCGGGTGGAGAATTTGAAATATTGCGTGACTTATGATCGAAGTTTTTCGGATGGAGAATAACCATAAATAAAATGAGATTTTTTTCCATCAAATACGCTTCTTTGGAATAATAAAGAAGGCATAACTTATCCCGGAAATCACGTAAAATTCGCGAAAACTGCACGAGAATGTCGACCAAAATCTTACACTAATAGCGTCACTGTAGTTCTGGCGAAGTCCAAAATTGACGAAACACGAAATGATTGCTAATAAATTTGACCGGGCACCACGATTTTTAAACGAGGCCCAAAAAGAGGCTCGAGTTAATTTTTCTTAATTTTTCCTAAATGAACCGGAAAATGGTCAGTCGAGCAACCTTGGTAAAGTCGTTACTGGTAACGAATCTTGTTTCTATAAGTATGATCCAGAAACCAAACAACACAGTCCATGGTATGGAGCCAACAGGACAGGAGAAAACCCCACCCATAAAACTAAATGAGGAGCAAAAGTACTGATGTCAGTTTATTTCAGCTGAACTAAAATCGGGCCTGCGATTTCACTGGAAAATGGTACATGGAAGAGTGCTTACCTTATGACTTCAGGTTTCTTCCAAAAGTGAAAAAATATATAGAAGGAAAAGTTTTTAATTGCAACGAGGAGATAATTAATGCGGTTAAGGCTGAACTTGATAAGCTTAAAAACCGAAATGTTGAAGATTGTTTTGAGAAGTGGTTCTATAGGCTTGAGAAATGCATTGAAATCAATGGCGATTGTGTGCGGAAGATAGAAAAGCATAAGGATTGCGAATAAATACAAAAGGGATTTTTTTCTGTTCAACTTTTGCTAATCCCCTCGTATATCAAAGTATCTATTTCGTTGATTTATTCATTCTTACAGCAGTCGACCGTTTGGTACTGCTAGACTCTTTCGCTAGCTTCTCAAATCCTCTAGTTACCCTCTTCCGCCTCAATGTATGCAATCAATTTTCATTAACTTCTTATCAATTAAGAAACTGTCAGCGATTGTTACAATTCTCAAGTGAATCATATGCTGCTGTATCAGCGTGTTCTTCAAATTCTACACTAACGGTTTATCGCGTCTACGTAAAACAGTTTTTAGTAAAAGGTGATTACAAATGTTCTCTAATATATACATATATTTATATATATTTGTACTATATACTGGGTGCGCCATCTATATGTGGTCAATGGAAACATTGAATAACTTTAACAGATTTGCGTGCAGTAAAAACTTTTTGGAAGGTTATTCCAATACAAATCCAGCGTCATGTATCGCTATACGCCCAAAGAATGTACGGAAATTGTTGCAATGTACATTGAGTGCAATCGTTCAGCTGCTCGAGACTCAGGGGAGACTCACAGAGCAGAGTCAAGGATGAAATTCTTACGGCAAAAGTTCACCGGATTTGATATCGAATGAAGGGGATGTCGACTGGTCACCAATAAAGCCCTTTTTGACTGGACGAGACTTTTTCTTGTAGGGCTTTTTGAAAAGCAATGTGTATGCCTACAAACCGAAGGCTTTGGACGAGCAGAAGTATATACATATATATATTATATTAATTTAACGGTTAGAACTATTACAAATTTTACTGAAGCAGAATTTGCTTATTTTCATGTTTTGAGTATGATTGGATTAAAAGACCACCGTTCACTAGAAGAGAGTTCCCAAAGGTGTTAATTGACACTCGGTAAAAGGCATTCAAAGCCTATCGGTATGCTGTGCTATCCAGCGGTTTTTGTTCTGTTCTTGGAGTCCTTGTAGTCGAGTAGTCCCTACAATGTATGTATATGCGTGTATACCTAAATTGTAGATCGCTTTCTAGTAAAAGTATGCTTGGGTGTTACAGCACAGGGCAAAATACGCGTCACTTCAATTATGAGTGGTGCGCAGTACAGAGGATGTCCGAAAGTAGCACCAGCCAGAGCAAGAGTTGCACTTTGCTGATGTCATGTTCCGACGTAATAGAAACTGCTAGGTAGCACCGGCACACAAATTACAGGTTGGGGTGCAACAGGCATTGCAAAGCTGTAGTTGAACGCTGGCAGTATGGGTTCACTCTTTTTGGGTCTTAAGACTCAAGAATGGCACTGGTTGCATCTAATCGAAATGGAAGGATGGATGGGTTCGACACCAGCCCTGAACATAAAAGATTTTGAGCAACCGGACAGCTTGTCATTGTTGTTGTTGTTGTAGCGGTTCGCTAACCCCGCTTAGGCACAGGCTTAATTATTCGGCGACCTGACAGCCTGTCATTCTTTCATATCGGTATAAATTTTGATGGGTCTATCTTTTCTCCTTCTGGTACTCAAATACTATATACTACGGACCTAAGTCAAAATAGCATTTTTGAGTGAAAAACTAAGCGATTATTTTTATTGTGATCTAATCAACTTTATAATATGCTGTGAATTATGTGGTATTCTACATCAGATTGACTGACTCAGTTGAAGAAGTTACAAGCTTGCCAAAACACCGCCCTCCGGACCGTGACCAGAAATCTTCTGATATGTCCAAAGCATCACTTGCACAGCGAAGAATCCATGCTACGAGTTAAGACATCGCTGAAAACTTTTATCTAGTGTAAACGTAAATAAAATATATTGTTGTAACGCCATTGTAACAGAAAGTATATGTTTATAGTAGCCGACTTAACGCCTTCCCAAGGCGTGGCCACAATATAATTTACATACATATGTAAGCACTGAATCCAATGAGTCCCCGAAGTATGCTAAACACATCCTTACATGCCTCCCGAAATCAATTCATCTAACACCCCTTTCCCTCTAGACCGAATCAGTTAAAACAGCACGCTAAAAGTTCCTGACGGATTAAGCATACTGGCGATGTTCCACGAATCATCGCTACCAAATCTATGAATTCTTATTATAAGATTATTTACATTCACTCCAAAGGCGAAGTTACTGTATATCAATTTAACCAATTAAACAGCCTAGTCAACTTTTACATCTGAGTCATCACATCAGTAAGAAGACTTTAAATTCTATAATATATTAAAAATTATTATCACTTAAACAATTTGAGTAAGAAATATTCAAACAAGCTATGTAGTAGTATTCAAACGCGATTGAATTTCTTTTTTAGTTTTTGGTCCAACATTGGCAATCGGTGACGGTTGATCCCTTGGAGTTTCTTCTTGCTGCCCTTGGTTTCTAGCTGCAGCGCGCTCATTCCGTATAATGTCATATTCTTTCAGTTCCGCTAACTTTAAAGGTATGCTCTGTAATTCCCGTTTACGCATTTCGATAAGAGGATAAAATGCAATTAAAAATCAACAATAAAAAGTCCTGTTTAAACAATTAGAAGTATTTCAAAAATTACGAAAATCTAGAAAGCAGAACAGCAACATAAACATTATAGCAGCTGTTCGCAAGGTCGTAATAGGCAACGTGAGTGCTGCCATATCGCGCCTACCAAGTTCAACTCGAAAATTCCTCTACTTTGTGGACAATGCACAGCAAGCTAAAATCTCAACTATGCAAAGATTTTATGTTTCAGCATAGTTTTAGAATGAAAATTACTTATAAGTATATATATATATATATAAATGATAGTGATTTGATAGTTTGCTTCAATTCTTTAGTTTTGAATGTGTAAAATACGCTTCCGTCGTTAATAACGTTTGAAGCAGGGAAATTTCGTTTCATTCTGAAGTAATAATAAATTAAATACGTCTTGATGATTTTTTAAATCCACATACATATATACAAATTGTAACGGCGCTGACGAAATATCCTGTTGTTCTAGCTGTAGCACTTCCTGGCCATGATCCTTGAGACTGTTACCATGATGATGAATTTCAGCGTAAAAAAAAGAAGAGAGGTGATTCCTATGTCTGAGCATTCGAGACGACTGCATGTGGGCTATTGATTCGCCCGGTTGGTGTACTCATTGCCTTGGGTAAGAATTGTTTCCTTATTTAGCTCTCATCTATCTCGGTGCGCTTCGTTCTGATCCAGTCTCTCTTTAAGTTCTGCATATCTCTTTAACTCAATTCTCCTGAAGCTGTATGAACAGAAATGTGGGCATTCTTTTGTGACATCCTGTCAGTCCTTTGACTCAGTGTACTCTGCTTTAACTTGAGAAATTGCAGCCAATAGCACGTTCATGCCCACACCTTTGGGTGAAATGAGAACTTTTTCTTCAATCTTCGTTAATGCCTTTTCTAAGTCCTTCGAAGATTTCTTTCTTTACATCCTTCGTGGATGTCTCTTCGTTCTCGCGACCGAGAAATAGTGCAATCTTAGTTATAAATAACTTAATCAACGTTTATTTGTTAAACAAATAATAATAATACAGTAAAACTTTTATGCCAACTACGTACATATTATCATTAAACAAGTTTACCTTATAACCTACTGGTGTGTTGGTTGCTCTCCCAGATACCTTTTGGATTGCTCGTACTAAACTCTGGTTATGTCGATATGCTCTTACGATATAGGCAAAATTTTCGCAAAGTACTTATTGGTATATCTCTTTTATATGTCATTCATATTTGGTATGTGGTATTGTGGCCTAAAAATGTTAAATGCGTATGTGGGGTGAGAAGGATGATGTTATTTATGGAATTTCGAAAAATTTTATTAACTTTGAAAAAGAATTGCCCACAAAAAATGAAGTGGTAAATGTTTCAACCCACCTTTGAATGGGTAACACTGGTGTGATATGCCAACATTTTCTAGGCAGACAGCGAAAAAGCATACCAAAAGAAACAAAATAAATACAGAAGAAAAATATTGCGTCGCTGCCGGAAAACAATTTAATACCTAAAATTTCTGCAAACAACGGCGTAAGTAAATGTTTAAATAATATAAATTTATTATTATTTGTTTGATTTGACTAACATATAATGAATGTTGAATTCGGGGAGAAGAAATTATCGTTCTATGTTTGCATCGAAATATGTCTTTTAGCGTCTGCCTTACTCCTTAATCTGTACATACATACATATATGTGTTGTCATTGCTTTCATTGCTTTTTATTTAACCAATTCTCATTTCAAGTGCTTGTAATTGTTAAACAAATTCCATATAAGATGAGCAGTCAAAGTCAATATAAATTGCTATCGTTGACAAAGGCGCGGTGCGACGATGTAAAACTAACAGGTACGTATCCTTTTTAGATTTGCCAAGGATAAACCATTGTTTTCGTGTAAATTTAATAAAACAATATTATTTTTGTAGAACGATTCTCAGAGCAAATGGCACAACTTTGTATGAATGACGATTATTCCGATGTTACTTTCATAGTAGAAAATCAGAGGCTACCTGCTCATCGCGTCATTTTGGCAGCACGTAGCGAATATTTTCGAGCTCTTTTATTTGGTGGATTGTGTGAGTCTCGACAAAGCGAAATTGAGCTGCGTATTCCAGTCGAAGCTTTCAAAGCTCTCTTGAAATACATTTACTCTGGTCATATGCCACTCGCACAGATGGATGAGGATAATATACTTGACACTTTGGGCTTGGCTAATCAGTATGGTTTTAGTGAATTAGAGCATGCCATATCACAATATTTACGACAATATTTGGCGTTGAGTAATGTTTGCGCAATTTTGGATGCAGCTCGTTTATATAATTTGGAGAAACTTACAGAAGTTTGTCTGACATTCATGGACCGCAATGCTGCCGGTATACTGCAGCATGAGACTTTCCGATTACTTTCAATGGTTGGTGTTTAAATTGGGTAGTTGTAGAAGCGAAAGTAGAGTTAATATAAATATTTCCTCCTGTCATCCTAAAGGAATCGCTAAAAGAAGTTTTACGACGAGACTCGTTTTTTGCGCCTGAAGTGGAAATCTTCTTAGCTGTATGGGATTGGTGCAAAAGTCACACAAACATTAATATTGATGTGAGTACAAAAGCCCACTCATGTGTTATACTTCATGTATCAATTCATTAATTTCTAAATATTCCAGTCGGTGGTTTCCTACGTTCGCTTACCTTTAATGAAACTAGAAGACTTGTTACAAGTTGTTCGTCCCTCAGGTATTTTGGAGCCCGATAAATTGCTTGATGCAATACAAGAGCAAACCACTTCGAAATATTTACCCTACCGTGCTGCTCTATGGCCGGAAGAGAATGTCGCTACAGCGAAATTTCTTTCACGAACCATACTCGGTGAATGTCGTGCAGCTTTATTAGATGGAGATTTTGTATCTTATGATATGGAAAAGGGCTATACCCGCCACTGCATTGGGGACAATATTGAAGGTGGAATCACGGTGGAACTGGGAACAATGTGTATTATTAATCATATAAAAATTCTACTCTGGGATCGTGACAATCGCTCATATTCTTATTACATTGAAGTGTCGGCAAATTCAACAAATTGGGATCGCGTTATTGATTACACTCAGTATTACTGTCGTTCTTGGCAATTTTTGTATTTCCCTGAGCGCCCGGTGCGCTACATTAAGCTTGTGGGTACACATAATACAGTAAATAAGGTTTGTATTACGTTAATTTACATAATCAAGTTGAAATTTCAAATAATTATCCGCTTTGCATTGCTAAATTATTAGGTATTTCATGTGGTTGGTCTGGAGGCGATGTACACTTCGGCTATACCAAAGGTGGTCAATGGCATTGTAGCACCAACTACAAATGTTGCACGCACAGATATGAGCGCCATCGTCGTGGATGGCGTAAGTCGTACACGTAATGCATTACTAAATGGTGATTATGTGAATTATGATTGGGATTCTGGTTACACCTGTCATCAGTTGGGCAGTGGAGAAATTGTAGTAAGATTAGGTAAAACATTTTACAATTCACACTGTTATTGTTATTTTAGTTTAATTCATTGTTTAATTACAGGTCAACCGTATGTTATTGGTTCAATGCGTCTACTGCTATGGGATTGTGATGATCGCACCTATAGCTTTTATATCGAAACATCAGTGAATCAAAAAGATTGGCATATGATTGTTGACAAACGTAACGAACAGGTACGTTCGTGGCAAAATTTTTCATTCACCCCAAGGCCAATAGTATTTATACGCATTGTAGGCACGCGTAATACAGCAAACGAGGTGAGACACTGCGTAATGTTTATAAAGTTTTTAATTTTCACTTATTAAACTTTTAATTGGTTCATAGATATTTCATTGTGTGCACCTGGAGTGTCCTTCGCAGGATCCAAATTTTTTGCAAATGGAAAAGGAGCAAGAACAGCGCGCCAATTGCAAAGCTCTTGATGCTTCCAGTGTAAGCAGTGAAGGTGATGATAGCATAGCAGGTGCCAATGAAAAATTAAGCAATAATGATGCAACTCTGAATCAGCCAAACAACAATGAGCAATTGCCAGACGAAATTCTTATTGGTTTGGATAGCATTTCGGTTGAAGGAAATTGAATATATTGTATTTCGAAAAATAACTAGATACTGTGAGCTGCCTTATCAGCATCTCGAATAATGGCCATATTTTAAGCAACTTAAATTCAAAGGTTGAACATTTTGTACTTGAAAATCAGAATTCTATTTTGAAAATTTTATATGAAGCGACTCTTTGTGATGCTTCTTTATATTTTAAATCTACATACATACATACATTAAAAATACATAACAAAAGGTATATGCGTGGTTGCAATCAACAAGCGTTTGCTTTAGTACAACTTGTTTAGTGATGTAAATTATTGTTTGTAATATTCTTTATAAGTGTTAAAATTATATTTGAGCATCTAATGAATAACACTCGAGCAGTAAATGTTGTATTTTGGTAGAGAGAAATTTTCCAAAATGTACATACAATACATATGTATAATGTGATGGTGAGTAATAAGTACACAACGTAGTTTGTAATGCATATAATTTTTGATAACGTTTGCTGCATTTTAACTATGGTATATTTATCTGTGTTATTTAACATATTTATTTGTTATAAACAAAAATGATATTAAAGACACATATAATAACTACAAAAACAATTAGGTCTTTGAAAAAAGTTTATTATGTTAAACGCTTTTTTTATATACATATATTATACATACGTATTTATACTATATATGTACACATATTTACTTTTTTATATACTTTATTTGAACGCTTTGGTGTATAAGCTTTTTGAAATTAATTAATGAGTTGGTGCAGGCGACGACGAGGTAAATACTGTTTCTTATTTATGTACATAAATACATATTGTGAATTTCATGCACATTTTTACATATATATATATATTATATTATATTTGAACAGATTTCGATTATTAGTTCAACTGGCTGAATGAAATTAAATGAAATCGAAATTAATAGTTGTAATGACTGGTTTCAGAATGTGTGTTGTGTATTCAACACGTTTATATGTAAATATATTTATTTTATAACTGATATTACGAAAAACTTGACTTTGATCAATGATCGATTCAAATTTTAATTTCTCTTTATATACTTATATAATAAAAACACCTTTTAAACTACGTAATTCCGCTTAGTTGTTGATGTTGTTCTTGTAGCGGTTGTTCCAACCTCGTTTAGGGACATGCTTGTTAGTCTAAGTCACCGAGGTCGCTACAGCGGGAGGTTACATGTGTCGGGCGCATTTAAAGAGGTGGTTCGCATCGTGCGGTTGGGCATGTTGGGGTCGGGTAAGGAGAAGTAGGACTTTAATCTGCTGCAATCTTGAGTTGTGCCAGTATTATGAGGGACTCTCGAGATAGCTCGAACTCTTCGTACACTAAGGGTGGTGATTTGACTCCGAGGACGCCATTCACAGGGAGGGAGTTTTTGAAGGTGTTTACTCACTTTTGTTGCTGCAGCGGTCATGTAATGAGAGGCCCAGGAAACGTGCTGTTACGACGGAATGGGACCAGAGGGAGAGGGGGATTAGTTGAGTCGGTTTAAGGGGACAAGTAAAGAGGTGGTTAGTGTCGTGCGGAGACTCTTAACATGCAGGGCATACGTTGGATATGCTGGGGTCGAGTCTAGATAGGTAGGAGGTAAACCTGCTGGGGTTAAGTCTAGATAGGTAGGAGGTAAACCTGCTACAGTATCAAGACATAAGTTGTGCCAAGGTCACACGGGTCTCTCGAGGCAGCTTGAGCTCGTTGTCAGCAATGGGGGGTGGTTTTTCTCCGAACACTTCATTGACGGGAAGAGAGTCTTTGAAGGTGTTGATTGACTCCTGGTGAATGGCGTTCAGTGCCTGTCTGTACGACGTCCTGTCCAGCGGTTGTTGCACGTATTGCTGGATGGTGTTTATCATGTCAAGTACGCGTGATGTGCCTGGGTGGTGGTTCAGCTTCGATAAGATGCCTATTGGCGTGGTCCCTATGGTAGCATCCCAATAGGAATTGCTTGCACAACAAAGCATTATGCTCCTTAACTAGATGCTCCACTGTGCAAGTGATGCTCAGGCGACATCAGAAGGTTTCCTGTCGGCTGTGTTCTGACAAGCTTGTAACTTCTTCATCTGCGTCTCGTTCGTCCCCGGCGCCTAGATCGGTGCAGCATAGTTTACGACCAACCGGCCAATTGCTTTATACTAGCAACCTATAAAGTTTGTTTATCTTTTCCCCAGGTGCTGCCGGTTAAAGATTTGAGAGTTTTGTTGCGGCTATGAAGTTTTGCGGCAACTGTGGTCGTATGCCGAGTTAAGGAGCTCAAGACTGTCAACTTCCAGTAACTTTGGGCTGTTTGTGGCCATTATTTTGATGCCATCGACCTTCATATCGAGTCCGAGCCTGTATTGCATCGTCAAGATTTTGAAAAGGGAAGCCGAGGAGACAAGTTCAGAAAGGAGTAGATCCTTGTGACATAATAAAGGAGCAAAAATTAAGTGTCGGACTCGTGATGGGAGAGAGAAATCGAAATAGCATAACATGTGACCCGTTATCTTTTATGGAAAATAGAATTGAAAGGAAAGCATGTGTAGGCGAAAAAAGAAAGAGGGGAGATACGTGAGTATGAAGAGCTTAAGAAGCTGGTCGACAATGGCAATGCTCAAAAATCAATGAAAAGATACGGCGGCTTACAGATGGGTATAAGACTGATGATAAATAGCGATTGGCCACTTACAGAACAACAAAGCGGCTGGAGCCAATGGCATACTGACTGGGCTATTTAATCATGACGGTGAAGAGTTAAAAAGCTGCATGCATCAGTAGAATATGGTCGGACAAAAGCAAGTCAGAGGATTGGAATTTAAGTGTACTCTGTCCAATCCACAAAAAGAGTTATCACACAGTACTCGCCAACTGCCGTGGGACCAGCCTCCGTAACATCACATATAAGGTCCTAACGAGTGTTTTGTGTGAAAGACTAAAGCCCACCGTGAAAAAGTCGAGTGGACCTTATCAGTGTGGCTTTAGACCTTGTAAACTAACCATTGACCAGATATTCACCATGCGCCAAATCTTGGAAAATACCCGTGAAAGAAGGAGCGAACTAAAACTATTTATCAACTTTAAAGCAGATTTCGATAGCACGAAAAGGAGCTGGCTCTACGCCACTATGTCTAAGCTCGGTACCCCTGTGTATACTGACGTTAAACAACACTAAAAGTAATTCCATATCGTGTGACTTCTTTAATTTATAATTTCGTCTGAACAGTATTAACACCAACAACAAGGTTATCCTGGAAATCTAGCGCAGAATCAGTCTTGCCAACAGGTGTTACCTTGGACAGAGTAGACAATTGAAAAGTAAAGTCCTCTCTCAACTCTACAAGTAGCTCATCATACCCGTCCTACTATATGACGCAGAAGCATGGATGATATCAACAACTGATGAGTCGGCTCTAGGAGTCTTCAAGAGAAAAGTTTTGCGGACGATTTATGGTCCTTTGCGCATCGGCAACGGCGAATACCATAGACGATGGAACGATACGAGTACGAGCTTTACGATGATATTGATATAGTTCAGCGAATGAAGAGACAGTGGCTACGCTGGCTAGGTCATGTCGTCTGAATAGATGAAAGCGCTCCAGCTTTAAAAGTATACGAGGCAGCACACACGGCGAGAAGCTGAGGAAGAAGGAGACCTCCACGCCGTTTGAGGGATCAGGCGGAGAGCGATCTGATTTCACTCGCACCAAAATAGCGAAAATTAGGCATGAATGACGTGCTGTTGTTAACGCGGTTATTTACACCTGTAAAGAAGAAGAAGTTACGCATCGTCAAACGCGATTTATGGCGGCTTTCCATACTGAGCTTCATACTGAGCTTCATACTGAGTTTGATGAATTATTAATTTACATCAGACGTTTTATATTTTTCCATATTTCTCTTTACTCTAAGAGTATATTCCTCGGTGCCAAGATTATTTAAATACATAAACATTTATTATCTGACCTAATTTATCATAGAAGTATACATACGATACATATACGAGTATGTAAATTTATATATGTATTTGTGCATATTCTTTAGAAAATGTTCATTAGAAACAAACATGTGTCAGCATCAGGCTAAAATTATTATTTGATTTTTGTTTTCTTTGTGTCCTCGCATACTCTACCTCACATATATACATACTCGCTCATACATATATTTACGTGTGCCCCCTTTCATCAGACTAATCGTTTTTGGCTTAAATCAAGTGTCACATTCTTCGCGCTCACTTATCACATCTTTCCATTTATTTGCATTTCTCACCTAAAATATCCATTTCTACGCCAATTTTCGTACATTCTCACATGATTTGGGTTAATCTTGATAATTTAATACTCACAGCACAGCCACCAATGCACAGCGTTGTAAGGTTAATAGACACAAATAGACAGGCAGACCAGTGTATACACACACACACGCACACGCGCGCGCTCTCACAGAGGTATACACACGCACACACACACACACTCTCACTGAGGTATACACACACACATACACACACTGGCATATCTTGCATACAATCATGTAAAGAAGCCAAAGAAAAGAAGAAGCTAATATTCTCCACACAAATTTTGCTGTCAACGAGCGAGGGAGTTCGTTTCATTTTATCAGAATTCCCCGAAATTTTCTTATTTTACTATCTTTTATCTGCCGCGTGTTGCTTGTCCCTCTCCTCTCCTTCAACGCCAGCGATGTGAGCAGAGTTGCTTTAGTTAGGCAGTTAGTCGAGTTGCCTTGGATAAGCCATAGCATGTGCATCGTTTTAAGCAGCTTTTAGGCGCCCAAGTAGGTTTTGCACCTGAAGCCATGACACACGTATTTTTTTTTTGGTTTTCCATGGAATCCCCACAAAAGTTTGGCTGATTTTACCTTTTCACCTGCAATCAAAGTTCATAATACGAATTTTTGTTTAAGTAGAGACGTTGGTGCATAGCCGTAGGGATTGACGCTTGTGAGAGCTTAGCGTTCGTTTATTCATACACACACACATACATATATAAATACTATACTATAGAAATGGTAAGTATTGGTGGTGTCATGAATAGACGCCACTTGTTTATTTAATCACAACTGAGTGGCTTAGAATTGCTTCTGATATTTTTTGCGTTTATTTGTTTATTACGTGAGCCTCTTTGTTGAATTGTTTTCATTATAAATTGCAATATAATAATAGATTTAATGTATAAATAAAAAAGTTAACATTTGCTCACTCACGAGCAATAAGAAGCAGTTACTCTATTAGTTGCTGAGTTAAGGGGTTACATAGGCCTTGAAGGTCAAAAAAACTTATTTTCTCTAATTTTCTTTTTAAAGTTACTAAATAAAGTATACAATTTATTTATTTTTTTACATAGAAAGGTACAATATGTGGACAACATTTG